CACGGGGAGGCTCGCGGCTCCCAGGGACCCCCCACGGGGCCGCGCGAGGGAAGGGGCCCTGTCCCCGGGCCTGGGGCCCGCGGCGACCTCCTCGGATGCCGGCCCGGTGTGCACCCTGGCCGCGCTGCAGTGCGCGCGCTCCGGTGGGAGTGTGAAAGCCTTTTCGCTTCCCTCCCGCGTCCCCGCTGGGTGGAGGAGCGCCCCGTGCCGCAGCCCCGTCGCCGGCCCCGCTTGCCAGCCCCCTCTCCCAAAGCGTCGCTGGAAGGCCTTGTGGAAAAACGGCCAGGCCCCAGCGGTTTCCTCCTCAGCCCGGTGGCTGCGGCCCTTGGGAGTGGGGGGCACCGACGGGTTGCCTCAAAGCAGCATTGTGCCTCCTCGTGGCCCAGCGCCTCCTGAGCCTCCCTCAGAGTCGGCTTCTTTCATTATTCCGGGCGGAGGCCTGCGGGTCGCTCTATAAATGACTTTCCATGGAATGAAACCCAGCTTGTTCTGAGCTCCTCGTCTTGCCCTTCATTCTCTCACTTGTCTCACTTCGTGGTTCTTAATCGTTGGAGGGGGCGTATGTAGCTCTTTGTGAATCTTATGAACGTTATGGACTTTCTCTTCCCAAGTAACATACATTTTCGAATATACATATTTTATGTACATTTTCTGGGAGTTCAGAAAGATCCCCCCCTCGACACACACACACCTAGCCCATCCATGGATTCATTTCAGTTTTCCCAGCCACCCTGTGAGGTAGGTATTATTTTCCCTGTTTTAGAAATAAAACAGACCCAAAGAAGTTAAGAGATTTCTCAGAGGTAGCCGTCCATAGCTGTATGGTCAAACTTGCACGCCTTATCCCTGATTCCAAAGTCCACCTACTTTTCTCTACACTATGTTGCACTACAATAAATAAAGCCTGCCTTTATTACAACAATGGCAGTTTCACTTCACAGTGGTATGCAGACTGAAAATAATTTCCAGTATATTTAAAATTAGAACTATAAAGATACTTTAGAAAATATGCGTATAGGGCCGGCCCGTGGCTCACTCGGGAGAGTGTGGTGCTGACAACACCAAGTCAAGGGTTAAGATCCCCTTACCGGTCATCTTAAAGAAAAAAAATATGTATATAAAAAGGTACAGACATAATCCCTATTCTTGCTGTCCAGTTCCTTCAGCATTCCCTGATTCAAGTTGCTGAATTATAAACAGGTTAATTGCACATAGGGAGCCTCTGCAATAAGAGCCAACATTTATTGAGTCCTTGCTGTGTACCCAACTGTGTTCTAAGGGCTTTACCTTTAAAACAACCACCCCTTGGATTAGGAACTATTATTAGCCACATTTTACAGATGAAGAAACTGAGGAACAGAGAGGGTAAATAAACTATCAAAGTCACCCAGTTAATAAGTGGCTGAGCTAGATTTGAACCCAGGCACTCTAGTTCAAGGCTCTGTTTAGTTGCCTCTCAAAATAGGAATTCTGATTAAATCACAAATCTATCTAGTGGCTTAATTATTTTCTGAGGATGGCATACGTGTTATATTTCTAATTAAAAACTTCATGAACATAATGTAATTTTTCTTGGTGATTAGAGAGAAACTTCAGGATCTTGTAATACTTAAAGATCATCATCCATTATGACATCACATTGCTGATGGCCTGAAAAAAGGCTTTTATGTTATTTGGATTCTCTAAATTGTGATTTACTAGATACACGTGTACATTAGATGATTGAACATCCTTTTGCGAACTGGATTTTCCTGTATCGGAACTCTTCATCCTATAGGCAGTGAATCTTTAATACTTTGGCAAGTGTTTGATTAGTCAGCATGGACTATATAAGACTCTGGCCTGTGAGAAATTGGAAGCCTAGCTCCTTGTTTATATCTCACTTTTTTTGTTTCCCAACCTTTCGTGCAGTTGCATGACTTTGGCTTTCAGGATCCTCTTCCAACAAACCCTCCGTGCACTTGGCCGAAAAGAACCGTGCCTATTCCGAGAACAACATCGCTGGGCTAATGTAAGACAATTCAGCCAGTGGTCAGAAACAGATCTACTTCATCGGTGCCGCCTCCTCCAGAGAAGAAAGCCTGTTCTATCATTCCAGGGAGGCTGTCTAAGACCACGTGCCACCAGCCTTGTTTTCTTGCCAGGATCGCATGTGGAACTGTGCAGTGGCCCCTGTGAGATGGCTGAGCAACGGTTCTGTGTGGACTATGCCAAGCGTGGCACAGCTGGCTGCAAAAAATGCAAGGAAAAGATTGTGAAGGGCATGTGCCGAATTGGCAAAGTGGTGCCCAATCCCTTCTCAGAGTCTGGGGGTGATATGAAAGAGTGGTACCATATTAAATGCATGTTTGAGAAACTGGAGCGGGCCCGGGCCACCACAAAAAAAATTGAAGACCTCACAGAGCTGGAAGGCTGGGAAGAGCTGGAAGATAATGAGAAGGAACAGATAACCCAGCACATTGCAGGTAGGGTAGAGAACACTGCTTTCTCATCTTAACTGGTGCTGAGAGAAAAGAGATAAGGAGAGTGCAACTTTTTTCTCTATTTTTTAAAATTTTTTATTTGGATATAATTTTAAATTCACAGAAAAGTTGCAAGAAAAAAAATAGTACAATAGAACACTCATATTCCCTTTATCCAGATTTACCTGTTCACATTTTACTCTGTTTGCTTTATCATTTGTGTTCATGTGCTCTCTTTATACACACGTGTACACAGTGTGTTTTTTTTTTCCTGAAATTAAGTTGCATACGTCATGGACTTTTAGTTTTATCTTTTTTTTTTTTTTTTGCAGCTGGCCAGTATGGGGGTCCGAACCCTTGACCTTGGTGTTATAGCACCTTGTTTTAACCAGCTGAGCTAACTGGCCTGCCCTGCCATTTACTTTTAAATATTTCAGTGTTTACATCTTGAGAACAGGAATATTCTCTTACATGACCATAATACAGCTATCAACTTCAGTAAATTTATCCTGATATAATACTTTAATCTACCATCTGTATACTATTTTATCAATAGATCGAATAATAGTTTTTAAATCCCCTCCAGTCTGGGATTCCAGTTTAGGATTGGATCAGGTATTACATTTAGTTGTTATGTCTCTTTGGCTTCCTTTAATCTGTAACATTTCCGTGTCTTTCTTTTATGACTTTGACATTTTTGAAGAACAGAGTACACATTACTACCCCCTCTTATCTATTAATTTATTATCTCTTATGGACTCATGGATTACTACTTTTTCCCCAGTGGCTTATAATTCATTATTGTTTTTAATTAATTTGGTACTTAACTGTCCCATATTTGGCCAGTTAGGAGCCCCTTTAAGATGGCTTCTGTGTCCTGCACTCCCTCATTATTTTTTTAAAAAAATGTTTTAAAGTACTTTCTTACTCTAAGGCATAACAAGATGTCCTTTGTCTTATTTTGTATGTGTCCTACCCCAGCCCTGGAATCAACTATTTCTCTGAGGAGTCCAGGTTCCTATTAGTGGGGAATAGTATTAGAGACCAAAATCTAAATGTTGCTTGTCCTCATTGTCATGGGTTGTCTTTGCTTCTAACCCCTTTCAGCAGTCAGAGCTAGAAAATATATGCATGTATATACACATAAACACACATACATATGTACAGATACATATTCACATGTCCGTGTGTATTCATGTACATATGCATATTTTAGAAATCTTACGCCAATACTTCAAATCCAGTTAGTCCTCTTTGACCATCATTGTCTGTAAAATAATAGTCATATCTTCAATTAAGTATAGTTCTGGTCATTGCAGGGAGATTCTAACAGTAGCTCTAAAAATCTATCCTTGTTCTTTGAGGAGAAAAAAGTCTTCAAGGAGAGAAAATTCTACTTCCTGTGTATTCTCAAGCTCCCCATCTCACCCTGCCCTGCCTTGGCTTGTGGCTTCAGCCTTTTTTAACTTCTTGACCCACTTCTTATTCAGGGAAAGAGAGATACAGGGGCAGTTAAACTGTCACATGACTCATAACTCAGCAGCTGGAAATTTTCCTACCCATGCCAAACCGACATTCTCTGTGATCCATCTTCATTTACTTTTTTGTTCATCTATAAATTAGGGCTAATTCTATGGAGCTGGGGTCTCCAAGTTTTATGTCTCAAGATGTGATTTCTGATTCCCCCCCAATCTTATCACTTTGAGAAATTGTTATATATGGGGTAAGAGGTGGAGAATGTTGATGAAAATTTAGTTACTAATAGAGGTATATGGTAACTGGGTCTTTTGATCCCAGAACACCCTTCCATCCCCTCTGTCCAATACTCTGTCACATACTCCCTTCCCTCAAAACAACTAGCCAGCCTAGGGGTAGTGCTGTGGTAGTGAAGTAGCAAGGAAGGCTGTAACAGCAGTTGATAGGTTGTTTGGAAGCTTTCTCAAAGATCTTTCACTAAAGAATATTTCCCTTCTTTTTTTGGAATACTACAGATTTGTCATCTAAGGCATCAAGCACACCAAAGAAGAAAGCTGTTGTTCAGGCTAAATTGACAACCACTGGCCAAGTGACATCTCCAATGAAAGGCACCTCATTTGTCACCAATACCAATCCCCGGAAATTTTCTGGCTTTTCAGGTAATATAGGTTAGGGCTACTTTAGCTATTATAGTCCCCCTTTTATTTGAAATCCTATTTAGGCATCTGGCTAAAAGTGAAAATTCTTTGTTGTCAAGGCTCTCATTAATAATTTGCTTCTCTCTGATAAAAGACAGGTAATGGCTAATTCTCAACATTCCATTTGTGTAGCATTTCTTTGGATACTTTAATCTCTGTTGCAGCATGTAGATGTTTGTCTTGTCAAGAATTTTCCCCCTTGAAGTAGCTACCTGGGTCAGACAGATTTTTATAACCTGTCCTTTATTTCCTAGTGTTTTGATAATGGAAGAATTTTAAGAAATTACATCCCTAAACTTGCCTGAACTGGAGGTGAAAGTATGGAAGAAGGGAGATGCTGTGCGTTGACCATATCCCTTGATTTCTCTTCATAGTTCTTACAGCTGTTTGTTCAAAGGGTTGGAATGTTTGTGGAACATGGAGCAGGAAGGAAAAAAGGATTTGAAGGGTATTTCTGTTTGTTGGGACGCAGTACAAACTAGTGGTGAAGCATATCAACTTTGGAGTCAGTGAGCTCAGGGTTCAAATCACATTTCCTAAAGGGGTAGATTGTGGCAGTAGAGACAAACTGTGAAATGTTAAATTTTCTTTCCTTTTCACTATACACACATATATGTATACACATACACATACATATGGTTTCTTTTATATAAACATAGAATTACTATTTCATAGACAGGGATTCAGGAGAACTTTGCTAGGGCATGGCGTGTAAACAGGAATTGAGATCAGGATCATGTATTGGCCTCACGTAACAGATAGCATAGAGTAGGAGCCTTTATGTGTGTAGTTTCATTTGTTTTCAGTTAACACTAGGATGTACTTTTATTAGACCCATTTTATGAATGAGAAAGCTAAAGTTCAGGTTCATTATGGACTTAGTATTTTGCACTGAAGTCTGACTGCAGTACCTGTGCTTTTTTACCCTACACCCTATTGCCTCTTTTATTATTTGGAGATATTCTTGTGATTGACTCAGTTGAGGAAAACAAATAAAGCCAAACCACTTGGACTCAGAAGCTATTTGGGGATCGAAAGCAGCTTTATGTGGTTGAAAGAAGCCTAGACCTGAGGTTGGAGGACTTGAGTTCTGGTCCCACCACTATCATTTGACAGCTCAGAGCCCTTTTATATAAAATATGTAAAATCCCCTCTTTGAGGGGATTAAGTGAAGCTACATATAAATCGTCATCAGAAGGACTAGTAATTTTTTTCTTCCCTTTTTTCCTTCTCGGAAAGGCAAAATGAATCATCTCTTGTTTCTTTCTCCAACAGCCAAGCCCAACAACTGTGGAGAAGCCCCCTCAAGCCCTACCCGTAAGATAAGTCTGTCCTCAAGCAAATGTGACCCCAGGCACAAGGATTGTCTGCTAAGGGAGTTTCGGAAGTTATGCGCCATGGTTGCTGATAATCCTAGCTACAATACAAAGACACAGATCATCCAGGACTTCCTGCGGAAAGGCTCAGCAGGAGGTGGGGCCATGAGCAACCTGAACGGGCTTTTCCTGTGAAGAGCTCAGAGCCATGTTGGCTACATGGGCATGTGAACTATCCATATGCACAGTGTTCTGTGCTTGGTTTAATGCTCTGCTATTGCTGTCTTGAAATTCTCAATAATTTCGGGCAAGGGACCCTGCATTTGTATTTTGTACTGGACCCCACAAATTATGTAGCCAATTCTGTTCAGACCACTTTGGCATATTTCTTCCTCTGCCTTTATTCTGCCCCCAGGAGGCCAGAAGAACCCATCCCATTTGACCAGTAGGAAAATTCACTATTCTGCATATTTGATTAGGTTTTTATGAACCATATGCACAGCTTGGAATAGAATTTTCCAATTCTGTTTTCTTTTTTCATCTAACAAATCCTCACTGAGCATCTGTAATGTGCTTGTCACTGGGTGCATGAAGTGAAATTCATGGCTCTGTCCAGTGGGAGTTCATCCATGGATTAAAGATGAAGCAGACACATCCACCTTCAGCCACTGAGCTCTGTGGCTTCGCCTACCATAGTGATATGCACAGGGTCTTATGGGAGCATAGGCAGTGATATATAGATCTCTTTTGATCTCGGCTTCTTTGAGATTATGTATTTATTTGTTTAAGCTTGATTTCTCAGGAAGAGTTCCTTTCTTCTGTCTCCAGATGGTTTCCACGGTGATGTGTACCTAACAGTGAAGCTGCTCCTGCCAGGTGTCATTAAGAGTGTTTACAACTTGAATGATAAGCAGATCGTGAAGCTTTTCAGCCGCATTTTTAACTGCAACCCAGATGACATGGCACGGGACCTAGAGCAGGTCAGAGGAAGGAGAGGGTAGGCCACATTCTAGGTGGGGCTTTGCCAAGCCAGGCACTTGCATTCTCTTTTTTGTGGTCAGGGCCTACTGTTTTAGGAAACTGAAACCCATTTGAGCAGGCATCCGTAATGGGGGCAGCTGAATGTGAGGCTACAGCTGTTAATTTCATAAGTTTCTGAGGACTGAAATCATACCATTGCTGAGCCACAAAATTCCTGGATATCAAAAGTTGGTATATGAGCCGGCCCGGTGGTGCACTGGATAGTGCGCCGCTTGGGAAGTGTGGTGGCGCTCCCGCCGAGGGTTCGGATCCCACATACAGACCGGTTCCCGCTCACTGGCTGAGCGAGGCGCGGGGGCGACGCCGAGGGTTGCGATCCCGTTGCCGGTCCCGGTCCGGTACGGGGGCGACACTGAGGGTTGCGATCCGTTGCCGGACACGGAAAAAAGACAAAAAGGAAAAAAAAAAAAAAGTTGGTATATGAGATTCTCCTCCATCTCTCCTGGGGCTCTATTCTGGACTGTTTTTTTTTCTTCCCTTTTCCCCCCTATAACTTGGACTTATCATTCAGTTTTGGTTTATTCATGCCTCCATCCTTAGCACCATAGAAAGTTTCCATCCAAGCACTCCCATTATGTAATGACATATTTGTTTCTTAGTTCAGATTCTTAAGCAGGAATCTAAATGACTCAGTCCCTGGATTCTTGTGTCTCTTCTCAGCTAAGGCAGGTGGGTAGATCCTGTGGTGAATAGACATGCCCCTTCTAGGAACTGTGGATGGGGATAGTGTCTCTAAGAAGTGAGATAAATATGTTCAGTTGGGGACAGGAGTTATGATTGAAATCTCTTAATTTATCTTTAGTCCTGGGGTCTTGGAGGATATACTTGGCCACCCTGGGATTGCAGAAGTGGCATTTTGGTTTTTGGAGACAGGGTGACGTGTCAGAGACAATCAGAGTCTTCTTTGAGCAGAGCAAGTCTTTTCCTCCAGCTGCCAAGAGCCTCCTTACCATCCAGGAAGTGGATGAATTCCTCCTGCGGCTCTCCAAGCTCACCAAGGAGGATGAGCAGCAACAGGCGCTGCAGGACATTGCCTCCAGGTGGGAGAGCTGCCCCAGTGAAACCATGCCTGACAGGGATGGGCTTAGGGAGATGAAATCACTTGGGAAGGAAGGTTCGGGGCTATAGAGGTCTTCAAAGACCAAGTTAAATATGCCTCATCCCCCTAGGTGTACAGCCAATGACCTTAAATGCATCATCAGATTGATCAAACATGATCTGAAGATGAACTCTGGTGCAAAACATGTGTAAGTACCAGCTCCTCTGACAGCTGAGCTGCCAGCCTCCTTTATTCCCAGCTGGTGTCAGGACTTTGGAGATCTGATCTGGAATTGAATCCTCATTCCACCTTCTAGTGGGATCCTGGTCCATCATGTGACTTGTCTTTCCCTCCATTTTCTCATGTTAAAATAGGGATAACAATACCTTTCTCACAGAGTTGTTACAAAATTGAGAGTATGGAATATGTTCAGTAAGTGTAGTATGAGTCCCTTGCCCACTCCAGCCCCCTTCTCAGATAAGGTGGCATCCAAGTAAGCACAGTTTGTCAAAAGAGCTGAATTTTCTAAGAGTATTTTTTTTCTATGAAAGTCTTTAGACAATAGAACACAACCACTTCTCTACAGATTGGGATCTCTCTTCTCTGTGAGGACCATAATGTCAGCGGCATTGGTTTTGTTTCCTCGCTCCCATTCCCCTTGGCAGGTTAGATGCGCTCGATCCCAATGCCTATGAAGCCTTCAAAGCCTCACGCAACCTGCAGGATGTGGTGGAACGGGTCCTTCGCAACGAGCAGGAGGTGGAGAAGAAGCCAGGCCGGAGACAGACTCTGAGTGTTCAGGCCTCGCTGATGACACCCGTGCAGCCAATGCTGGTGAGGAGCACTGCCCCACCCCCGCTCTGTACGCCTCTGCAAGTTTCACATCCTTTGGGGTGAGATCTAAGAGGGCATGAATGTGGAGAGCTCTTGCAAGGTGACTGGAGGAGTTTGGGGAAGGAATAGTGGAAGTGCAGGGCATCATTTTGCAATGGGGAAGTGAAGGCAAAAAAGAAGACAGGTGATCTAGTGGAAAAACTAAATGCTAGTCTTAGCTGTGCCACCAACAAGCTGTAGAATCTTAGATGAGTTATTTGGCCTCTCTTGGTCTTTAGTTTTCTTGTGTGAATGATGTCTGACACTCTCTGAAGCATCTGCCTAGGATGGTTTATCTATCATCTTACCTGAATCCCAGTAGATGTGTTAAGTAACACCTGAGGTTCTGTGACCTGCCACAAAGTAGCTCTGAGAGTAAGCAGCAGAACCAGGCTTCCTAGGACAGGGTTACTTGGGAAGGGAGAGGAAGCTTAAAGAATGAAGACCAGCTCTGATAGAGATAATTTTGGACCTCTGCTCATTTCATGAGAAATGGGATTTCCTTTCTGTCATCTGTTTTCCTGTGCAACAGGACCCAACACGTATGCATGGGGTTTTCCAGTGGAGTATGGTGCTTTTTTTTTAAACTGTCTTACGTGTTATACTGAAGCCTTGGTTTAGAGTTCTTTGTTTGGGATAGGGAAGCATTTTGTCCCTGCTAGGAATGTGAGACAACCAGCACTAAAACAGTGAGATCTCCATCCTAGGGATAGGACTCCAGTCACCTGCAGTAGTGGCCTTTCTGACTTTTATAAGAACTTTTCCTGGAGTCTGTTCTGCAACCTGTCAGTTGAAGAGTGGCATGGGTTATATAGCTTAGTGGTTAACCACATAGGCTTTGGAATTGGGCCTAAATTTAAATCTCATTCCTGCTGTTTACTAGCTATTGAACATTAAGCAAGTACCTAATCTCTCTGACCTTCAGTTTTCTCATTCATAAAATGAAAACAGTGTTTGTCAGGTAGAATATCACATCACAGATGAAATGAGATTATTTAAGTGATCTGACAAGCACCCAAAAGGTAGCTATTGTTGTTAGAGTCAGGCTGGCATAGGTATGTGAGTAAGCACTCCTGTGTCTGGATGTCTTGTGCCATGGATCCCTCATCACCGTCACCCTGCCAGCCTCACTGTCACCTGCACTCCTTAATCTTATGTCTACATTCCTCTTGTGTTCAGATAACCAGTGTGTTTAATAATAAGCCAGAGGCTCTGCAATACCCTAAATTATTGAGGGAAAAAAATTAAATCCTATTTCAGTGGAATTTTATTTGTTCTACAATGAATAGCATTCATATTCCTCAAAATGCAAGCTCCTGTGTCAACTCTGGTGATGATTTCATAGAATACAACATTGCCTATCCCTTTCCATTCCCATCACCTTCAATGGCCTGCCCTGAGCATACGCTCTGGGCAGTCAATCCCAAGGACTCGGGTCCTGTCCTGACTAACCTAGTTCCGGGCTCTTTGGTTGTCCATGCTAAGCCGCCCTTCACTGAAAGTCTCCAGGCTTTGTTTTCCCCACCCCAAGGCCGAGGCCTGCAAGTCCATCGAGTATGCCATGAAGAAGTGTCCTAACGGCATGTTCTCTGAGATCAAGTATGATGGTGAGCGAGTCCAGGTACATAAGAACGGGGACCACTTCAGCTACTTCAGCCGCAGTCTCAAGCCCGTCCTGCCTCACAAGGTATAAGTTCCTTTCTTTCCTCCAGGACTGCCTTGCCCCTTCCCGTCTCTAAGAAACTCAGAAGCAGAGTTCCATAGCCGTTCCAGCTATTGTACATAACAGGGTTTGGTTTCTATTTGCTGAATGAATGAGTGGATTTATTTAGTCAATTTTGGAGTCTTCTAGTAATGAAGCACTGCCCAGCAGGGACAGCCAAAGAGTCCAAACTTGGGTTAGTCAGGACAGAGCTCCCTGGGACACTGATACTTCATTTGCCCACAGTGACATTGGGACAGTGAGCTTAGCTGTTGAGTTGCTGTGCTCCTCCTGAACCAAATTAAGGCTCATGTACAAGGGACTGTCATTCATTAATGTGTTCAACAAATATTTATCAAATGCTTGTGCACCTTACAGCCAGTGGGCATATAGCAGTGAAAAAAATGACCAAAAGTTCTGGCTGTCATGAAACTTGGATTCTGATGTAAATACAATCCCATGGGGGACATCTGGAGTCTAGATTCCTGCCCTAATTGGGGGTGGGAGCATTGAGGACCTTGTTCCTCGCCCTTCTCAGCTCCCAGGGCCACTGAGACGTAGGGGTGTCTTCAGAGAAAAGCCGCTGGAACATCTGGCTTCCGTAACTTATGAGTAGATGGAATTCCTGTCCTTGCTACCCGCTTCTTTCCTAGCCCAGACCCAGTTTTTCAGAGCCCCAGGGATCAGGGGGGCATTTGTGTGGTCTGTGTGCTTACCTGAGCCTTGCCTTCCTGGAGTGCTGGGGACAAAGCAGTCAGACCATTTATTTCAGGTGTCCAAGAGGAGAGCTAAGCAGTGGCCTCCATATGGAGATTTACTGCAAGTTCACTTATTCTGTGGAGCTCTGTAAAGTTGCTGAGGAACTGCTCCTGGTGAGGTTGCTGTTAAATAGGCACTTCCTATGGCCCAGGAAGAAGTTTGAGTATGGCTTTCCAGAATGAGCCCTTTTCCTGTTTTCCCTTACCCAAGGTTCACTCATCCCTTCCTTCTGATGTGCTTTTGGTTCTTAAAAGGCTGGGTTGGGGATTGAAGGGGAGTGGAATGGATGTGGAGGCCTTTCCTGTTCCTGCTGCAAGCATCCTGGGTAGTGATGGCCTGTGTGTCCTGCCCAGGTGAGGAATTGGATCATAGTCGTACTCTTTGGACCCCATGCTGGCATCACTTGGCAAGAGCTGCCTGGGTTACAGTGGGACCTTTCCCTGTATAGAGCCAATAAAGATTAGGGCTCTTCCTTTTTCAAGAAAAACTCAGTTCCAAACATTAACTCATTCTGAACATGACTATGGGTTCCCACTTACAGAAGACACTGCTGTACAGAAGAGATTTCCTTCCTGCTCCTAAGAGTGTTCATTTCTTCCTGTCTTCTTTCCAACAGTCTGTTCTCCCCTAACCCAATTCTCCCCATCCATTTTCTGCAACAAGCACTAATATCTGCCTGTCTGCCTTTCCTCCTTCTCTCCCTCTATCTCCTCCCCCGCTATGTTCACTCTCTCTGTTTCTTCCTTTTTTCTTCAAAACTCTGCTCTCGCTACAGCCCATAGAAAGTGGCTCCACATGGGCTGACCTCTTTGTGGGTCTGGACAGAGGCACTAAAACAGATACCCTATTCCTCTTGTCCAGGTAGCTGACAGGGCCTAGCTATATGTTTTGCACATTTATTGTTTTTTTTTTTTTTTTTTTGTCTTTTTTCGTGTCCGGCAACGGATCGCAACCCTCAGTGTCGTGCCCGTACCGGACCGGGACGGCAATGGAATCGCAACCCTCGGTGTTGCGCCCGCACCTTGCTCAGCCAGTGAGCGGGAACCGGTCTGTATGTGGGATCCAAACCCTCGGCGGGAGCACCACCGTGCTCCCAAGCGGCGCGCTGTAGCAGTGCGCCACCGGGCCAGCCCAACACATTTATTGTTATTGTCCTGCATTCTTTCTGGGACCTGAGGTTTGCTGTCCATGGGTTGGCCTTGGGTCCCAGCTGTCCATTTATCTCTTACCAATGCTACCCTCCTACTTCCAGGTGGCACACTTTAAAGACTACATCCCTCAGGCTTTTCCTGGGGGCCACAGTATGATCTTGGACTCTGAGGTGCTCCTGATTGACAACAAGACAGGCAAACCACTGCCATTTGGGACTTTGGGAGTGCACAAGGTACTGGCCTGGGGCTGTAGGTGAAATGAATGAATGAGTGTGTGTGCTGTGACTCTGAAGGGAAGAACGTACCACTTAAGGTAGGGGTTATTCTTCGCTTCTGAACTGTTTCTGAATTTAGCCTTGAGCTTATATATGTCTTTTTTTTGCATAAAATGTTGCTGGTACTGGAACCAATTTATGATTGGGTTGGTTTCCATTCTACTGAGTGCCCTTATGGTCCAGGGGCTTCAGAGCACAAATAAGATTTTTCCATCGGGTGTTTCAGAGGGCTTCCAGAAGTGTACTGGTAATCCCCATTTTTCATGCCCTCTGACTTTTGTTCCTCATGTACCTACTACCTCATTTTCCCTTGCAGAAAGCTGCTTTCCAAGATGCTAATGTCTGCCTGTTTGTTTTTGACTGTATCTACTTCAATGATGTCAGCTTGATGGACAGGTGAGTTGGCTAGCATCTTTAAAGCCAGGAACTGCCAGGAATTTGTTTTCATTTCCTGGGTGGGGTGGTGGTGGGTTTAGGTTGGAAAGAAGGAAGGGGACGGGGCTGGTGCGTATATTCCTTCATGCCCAGGTGCTTGGCAGGGGCAGTGGCAGGAGGGAGCTGAGAGGCAGCACAGTTGCTACATAATCAACTCCCCATTTGATGTGAGGAAGAGTGTTGACTCCATCTGATCTGTGAGAACTTAAGTCACAGAGGAAACCCAAACTCCCAAAGAAACTTATCTGCTAAAGCTAAATAGACTGTTGCAGAGAAATAAACTGTGAGCACAGTGGGGTTTCTGTTTATTTCTTCAGTAGCATCCATGGGGGCTTAAGGCAGATGTTTTTCAGCTCAGAGGTTTCCATTTCAGAAGAGGCAGACAACAGGAAGCTCCTGATTGTAGGGGAGGCCATGGATAGGGTTGTCTTGGGGACAACTAGCAGTCTTGACTTGGATGAAACCAAATGCTTGGGCCCAAGAAACCAATATTTGCCCCTTCCACGCTTAGAAGTATATCCCTAACCCTGCTCCTCCTGCAGTGGCCACATCCTTGATTGTGGAAGGAGAAGGAAGTAGAAAAGAAAAAGAATTGGGGTGGGGGGCAGGGGTGGTTAGAGTTGGGATTTGGGTGCTGTGGCCTATCTCAGCCTGCTGACTCAAGGACCAGCCAGCCTTGGGATTGGGGGGAAGCAGGGTACAGGGGCTAAAAAGTGAGAGTCAGAGTCATTTTTCAAGTCGGACCAGTATTTATAACATCTGGACTAGAGGCCAGTTCTCTTTGGGCTTGATAAAATAGAAACACAAACTATCACAAAATAGAAACACAAACTATCACTCTAACCTGGCTTTGTGCCACTACTCATAGTTGTCCATCTTCAGTCACGATGGAGCCCTCGCAGCCCTTCACAGCAGAAATATTACACATGAGGGCTTCATCAGCACCAGCTCTAACCAGCTGAGCTAGCTGGCTAGCCCACATGAGGGCTTTAATCCATGGCAGACCACTCATGAAGCAGCAGCTTTATCATTGCCCCTTCCCTCCTCAGATTTCTAATAGGGCTGGGAGGATCCTGGCCTGACCTCAGCTCTCCTGTCCCCCTTAGGCCTCTGTGTGAGCGGCGGAAGTTTCTTCATGACAACATGGTTGAAATTCCCAACCGGATCATGTTCTCAGAAATGAAGCAAGTCACAGTAAGAGAAGGTTCTTCCCATAGGCAGGGTCAAAATGGTTTGAAAGCAGAGCAGAGAGCTCCTTGGGTCAAGTGTGATTAGGAGAGTGAGTCTTAATTATTCTCTTATGGGGGCTGCTGATGTGTTTTCCTTTGACTATTGTATATGTTGTTTACTAGTCTTCACGCAGGAGGGCAGGGCATGGAAATCCTCCAGTAAGCACCCTATGTCTCCAAGTCACAGTAGGGACGTTCCCTGCTTTGCAAACCCTTTGCCCATTATATTCAAGTTAGGGTGTTTCCAGTAGGCATTTTACTAGTGTGTGAAAAAGAACAACCCCCACCTCACTCCAACGCCATCCTCTATTCTCACACCAACCTCAACATTTCTCCCTTTGTCCCTCAGAAAGCTTCAGACTTGGCTGACATGATAAACCGAGTGATCCGGGAGGGGCTGGAAGGGCTGGTGCTGAAGGATGTGAAGGTAAGATGGCCACACCCTCTGCTTTCATCTGCAGGCTTGAAGCCCTCTCTGCTGAGTCTTTCCGGCCCTGGCAGGAGATGATGGTGGCAGACTGTGGTAGGGGTGGATGCTGAGGGGAGCCTTTCCAGGGTTTGGACAGGTCTGCTCTGAATCTAGAGGATGGGTTTGTGTATGTCTCCTGTAGTGCCCAGAGCCTGAGAACTCTTCCCCAGAGTGAGCTGGGCACTGTGATAGATCTGGTATGTAGCAGTGAAGAGGTATCCCACCCTCATGGAGTTTCTGTTCTAGTTTGTGGTCTCTCTTTTGTTTCCCCTCAGGGTACATATGAACCTGGAAAGCGGCACTGGCTAAAAGTAAAGAAAGACTATTTGAACGAGGGGGCCATGGCTGACACAGCTGACCTGGTGGTCCTTGGAGCCTTCTATGGGCAAGGGAGCAAAGGTCAGGATGGCCCCTGGGATGTTGCTTTTTTGGAAGGGGCACCACTTGAGATACAAGCTGGCTTTTTACTGCTTGATCTGCCAGCATGGGCAGTCATAACTTCCGAAGTTGTGGGATCTGGAGCCCCACCTGACCCAAGTTACCTCAGGCAGGAACATCAGAGAGTACAGACTTGGGCAAGAAAAAGTCAAGCAAGAATACCTTGTGCTAGCCTGGAACAAGGGAGCTCATAACCATTTTTTCAGGACCTGACAGCTTTCTCCTTGGGGAAAATCTCTTCCCTGGCTGGAGAGAAAACCTGGGGTCTGAGGAACTAATACTTTTAGGCAATCTGCTGTGTGCCAGCCACTATTCATTTCACCACAGCCCAACAGGTTGGGTGTGATTATCCCTAATTTACTGAAGAGGAGATTGGGGCTCATAAAGGTTAAATAAGGCCCAGACCCTTTCCCCTTTACCAGGCTGCTTCTTACTGGATTTGTGGGGCTGGCAGAGATGCTTCCCACCCTCATCCCATGCTCCCCTCCCAGGTGGCATGATGTCCATCTTCCTCATGGGCTGCTATGACCCAAGCAGCCAGAAGTGGTGCACAGTCACCAAGTGCGCAGGAGGCCATGATGATGCAACGCTCGCCCGCCTGCAGAAGGAACTGGACATGGTAAAAATCAGCAAGGTGAGGAAAGGACCTGGTTAACCCTGGCCTACTGAGACAGAGGCTGAGCTTTGGGGACTACAAGTATTTATCTGTCTCCCAGAAAGGAGAGCTACTGCTTGGCCATGGGAGAAGGATTAGGCCTTAAAATCTGAGTGGCCACCTTGTAGAAAATGGCTTGCATGCCCTCTAAGCCATGCTCCCTCTGAGCAGGGAGGATCACATGGGGTAAGGGTCAGCCTTTTTATCTGTCACATTTTCTCACAGTCCCATTGTGAAGAGAGGGGGTTTAAGCCGGTTTCAGCTTGGGAACAGCCCAGAACAGCATCTTTTCTCCTTCAGGATCCCAGCAAAATACCCAACTGGCTGAAGATCAATAAGATCTACTACCCTGACTTCATCGTTCCAGACCCAAAGGTATCAACCCTGTGGCTTGGGGTCGAGAAGAAATGGGACTTCCCTGAATTCACTTAGCAGCAGCAGTAGTCTCCCAGCTGTTAGCCAAAACCTTTTTGGATTTAACTGTTCTGTATTGCTTCTAGCTGTTTGAGAGATGTTTTCTTATTGACCTGCCTGACTTACTTCTGACAGAAAGCTGCCGTGTGGGAGATCACAGGTGCTGAATTCTCCAAATCTGAGGCTCACACAGCTGATGGTATCTCCATCCGGTTTCCTCGTTGCACTCGAATCCGTGACGATAAGGACTGGAAGTCTGCCACTGATCTCCCGCAACTCAAGGTGCCAGCTCTTAGGTTCCATATGTGTCCTCCACCCCACTGTCCTGGCCTTGGAACCTTGGGCATCTGTCTTATTCACATGTCCTCTGTCTTCTCCTTCCCCCATTCCACTGGGACAGAGCAAGAAGGTCAGTTAGAGAGGGAGGGTGCCAGGTCAGGAGCAGCAGCACTGGGCCTCCTTCTGCCTGCATCTTTGAGCAGAGAGCCTTGTATTCATGAGGCCCCACTGAGCAGCCCTTGGTCTAGAGAGTAAGAGCTTGCTGTCATAGCCTCCTTTTGATGGCCTGTCCCAGCCAGCAGTCCGTGCTTTGATGATTAAGAACTAGACAACAGTGATTTGTACCGATTACCCAGGTTACAGGGCCATACTTTGGAGAAGCACCAAGGAAGCCAGTTCTTTTTCCCTGCTCTTTGTCTTTCTCACCTCTTTGTTTCCCCGCCACATTTCCCGAAAACACACCACACACACCTCCGCTGAGGCCAGTGTCAAAGGGAATGATACCACCCAATGTTTTCCTTCCCCCTCCTCAGGAACTATACCAGCTGTCTAAGGAGAAGGCAGACTTCACTGTAGTGGCTGGAGATGAGGGGAGCTCCACTACAGGGGGCAGCAGTGGAGAGAACGAGGGCACCTTGGGGTCTGCTGTGTCCCGCAAGGCCCCCAGAGGTTCCCCCAACAAGCCCTCCGCTGGTGCCAAGAAGGCAGAAGGAAAGTTAAGTAACGCCAACAGCAAAGGTAGTGTAAGGATAAGGGAGGGGAGTGGGGTAATGAAGAGGGGGTTTGAGGGTAAGAGATGGAAAAGCAGGGACCCAGTCTCACATTCCAACTCCTAAGCTCATGTGTGTCCAGCCATGGGCCAGAAGCTGTTCTGTTGGACACTCTATATCTGCTCAGCAAACCTGAATGACAGCACCCTAGGGGGGCCAGTCTGCCCGGGGGATAAGTCAGTTCTGAGCTAAAGGGCTTGGCTGATAGCTCTTCCCTCCCCTCCCCCCAACGCTCATAGCAGAGAACGGGCCTGGTCCTTCCCTGTGCTGCCCTTGTCCTCGGAGACCATTATCAGCAATCCCTGCTCTTAGTTCTTATCCCAAACTGTCCTGCAGGCAACATGCTGACTGCAAAGCCTTCCCCTGTGAAAGTGGGAGAGAAGCTGTCCACAAAGTCTTCTCCAGTGAAAGTGGGGAAGAAGCGCAAAGCTGCTGATGAGACCCCGTGCCAAACAAAGGTGAAGGTAAGAATAACGCACCACATGGGCCAGTTTGGCCCAGGGCCTTGTGTTTCCAACCCTCTGTACTTGAATTTTCAAAGTAGAAGAATAAAGGTCTTTGGGGGAACATTAGCTAAACCCCTCCCCTCCCTGCAGCTGCTCCTGTGTTGAGGGCAGGGCAGCAGTGCTGCTGCTCCAGCCTGTGCACTCTTGTTGCCTTGCAGAGGCAGCCAGCCAGCCAGCAGAGAGGAAGGAGAGCTGTGCCAGCAGGCAGGAGATAGAACAGCTCAGCCTCGCCAGGAGAGGCTGCAGGCACCCACCCCGCTGCTGATCCCAAGTCACAATTTACAGTAAAGGGGAGAAAGCTGTGTGTGGTTTGGGAGTGTAGCAGTATGAGTTTGTGGTCAGGGTGGGAGCAGGACCAGCCAGCAAGGAGATGGGGAGAGGGCACTGGCTTGGTGACTCTCCTCTCACCTGAGGTAGCTTTTCCCTTTTATACTCATTTGTCAGTCTCAGGTTGGCAACATCTCATGAGCACCCACTGAAGCCAGGAACTAGGTTTAGTACTGGCTCAATCCTAGGGAGCTGATTGCCAAAAGGGCAGAGAAATGAACACATGATCACTACAGTTTGCGCCCAATCTTCCCCTCCTCGGCCCAAGAATAAGCACAGAAATCTGACTCAGGGCCTGAACCCAGTTCCCAGCAGACCAGTAGAAGCCCTTACCATCTCTTTGCCCTGCGCACAGCCCCTGCACCCTCCACAGTAATGAGCAGGACTCGTGCCCCTCAGTCTAGCTAGTTGTGCAGACTGGGCTGCTTGATCTTCAGGGAACGTCACTGAGTCTGGGAGCATTGAGTCTGAGCACCATGGATGGCTCTTAGAGACGTACTTTTCCCGTATCCAGGTCTCAAATGTTGGGGCCCATCCCTTTGCTCTCCTTTTCCCCTAGGCAGGGATGGTGGGGAGTGTAATTTGTAGTGACTGGAAGATGGGGGTATTGATGCCTGGTCCTTTTCTTCAGTAAACTCTTTCTGCTTGTGTCCTGAACTCTAGGCCTCTTCTGTCTACCTTTACTCTGTCCTGTGTTCATCTGGGTAAAGACCCATCTGCACCCAGTGCCGGTCCGACCCCACCCTGACCCCTGTGCGTTTGCAGGTGCTGCTGGACATCTTCACTGGGGTGCGGCTCTATTTGCCACCCTCCACACCAGACTTCAGCCGTCTCAGACGCTACTTTGTGGCATTCGACGGGGACCTGGTACAGGAATTTGACCTGGCCTCAGCCACACATGTGCTGGGCAGCAGGGACAAGAACCCTGAGGCCCAGCAGGTGTCCCCAGAATGGATTTGGGCATGTATCCGGAAACGGAGACTAGTAGCTCCCTGCTAGGACTGCTGTCTTCCTCTCCCTGAGGGTCGTATTCTCCCTTATCATACCACTGGACTGGGCTCAGGCTGAAGGCGGGTAGACAGATGAACAGAATGGGGGGATGGACTTTCTTCTCCAAGCAGTGCATCTTCCAAAATCCACCAACTCTTCATGGTCTCTTCTCGACCAGGAATTAGTTGCTGTGGATGTCACATGAAGTCAGTTTCTCTGCTGGTTTAAATAGATCTTTCAGATCTGGGTGCTGAATATCTTGCAGTTATCTCTGGAAGGCTGGGCCACTGAAGCTCTGTCCACAAAGTGTTCTTTTTACTTCCTGGCTCATTTTAAAGTTGTATAAAAGACTGCCCTCAGAAATGCTTCTTCTATTTGGCAAAACTTGTATTCAGCCTGGCCCCTTTTGCCAGGAATGAACCCTCATTCGAAAGAAAATGAACTTTTATGATGACTTTATTTTCTGTTCTCCTATCACAGGGTGAGGGGTCTCCAGTTTGAAGGGAGGAGGACTAGAATCAGGTGGGAAAACGTGGCCTTTGTGAGGAAAAGGTAGTTATTTGGGCTACTCCTCTGGGGGCATAGAGGGCTCCAAGGAAGATCTACCTCCCCAAAATCTGGAAACAAGACTGCTCTTTAAGGATAAAAATCCACACCTGAAAACAAATTTACACAACTTGCTTACAAAGAATGGCTCCTCTGCCACCTGAGGCTGATTTATTTGAAGAACAAAGGAAGACAATTTAGTGTAGACAAGTGCTGTTCAATGGAACTTTCTGCAGCAATGGAAATAGCCTGTAAATCTGTGCTGTCCAACTGAACTAACCACACATGGCTGTTGAACAGCTGAGGAACTGAAGTTCATTTTAATTCAACTTCAAATGGTCACATGTTGCTAGTGGCTGCCACACTGGAGAACACAGGTGTAGACAGACCTGGTTCAAATCAGAGGCCTGGAATTTAACAGCTGTAACCTTAGGCAAGTTATTTATCACCTGGGCCTCAATTCCCCAAAGTAGAATGGGAATTGGCATTGTACCTAAATCATAGGGTTGCTGTAATAAACTCAGATACATTTTGTGTAAAGCTCGTAGCACAGGGCCTGGCACATAGTCATCTAGAGTTGGGAACACCACCATTGGTGTGCATGTCCAGGCCCTACCCAGGAGAGGGGACCCTGGCCTATACCTTCAGAACCCTCAACCATATGTCTGCATGTTATAGCTCATACTGAGTGCAGGCTTATCAGGATGCCATATGGTTATAGACTAGTTTCCATGTCACAGTCCTGCTAACTGTTGAGGGTCAGTTCTTATTATCAACAAATTAGGTGTTTGTCTGTCTCCTGTGAGCTGGGTTAATGTGACTCGGCCCCTGAAGCACTTGAATGTCCGGGCCTGTAAGATTGAGGGCCGCCGCCTGCCCTCACCTGCCCCCCATCCCCACCCCAGTGTACTCAACTAAGTAATAGTCTGCTGGGAAGCTGCTTGTCAGTCAACTTGGATGCCAACTTTAATCTGACTGACCTTTGCTTCCACCTGCTGTTTAAAAGGGGGCAGGGCAGGAAGGGTGGGTACTGCCCTGACAGAAGGGGTGCAGGAGAGGGGGGTACTGCCCTGACAGAAGGGGTGCAGGAGAGGGGGGTACTGCCCTGACAGGGGGCATTGGCAGGAGGGGTGGGTAGTGCCCTGACTTTAGCCCACGATATTTAGTTTTTGAGTAGGCACCATTCAGTCTGGCTTCAGTATTGAGAATAAGACACTTTATTCCATCCTCGATAGAGGCAAAAGCTGCTCCTCCTTTGAGCACTGACCTACATAGGTTTCCATCCCCGATCCTGCCAAAGTCACTGCCCTCTCTAGCCTGGCTGACCTAAACCCAGCCCAACTGCCCTTGCTGGCTGCTTACAGCATGCACCCCCACAGCAAAGGGGCTCTGCCAGCTGAGATGATCATCCCAGTAATGAGCTCAGCCCCTTGACCCTTCTCTACTTTACCATGTTATCTCTAATTCATTGTCAAGGGCTTTTTGTGTTTCCCTCATCTTTGACATGTCTTTCTTTGCTGCTGAGACTAGACTATGCATACAATTTGGTATCCTTTCATGTACTCCCACAGCACCCTAAGCAACATCATCTTAAATCTTTCCAGCCGAATGCTGGCCTCCCTCTTTTGAACGTTTCTTTGCATGCTGCTGTCTGGCAGCAGGCAGAGGTCATTGCTGGGTGCTGAACAGGTCAGCTGCCTATAGCAGTGAGGGCAGAGTGCTATGGCTCAGCCTGGCGTTTTTACACCCTTTTGGCAAGATTCCTACCTCTTTTCTCCTCAGTCATGGCAGATATGCACATAATCTTGTTCTCCCAAGGGCTGCATTCTCAGGAGTCTAGTCTACTCCCTTTCCCTCAGGCATCTGGTCAGGGAGGTGTGTACAGGCCTGTGCACACACAGCAGTCTACCCAAGAAGCTGGGCCATCCTCTTCTAAGCCACACTCCCACTGTGTCACAGCTGTATCCAAAAGCTTCTATTTATCTCCAAAGGTAGTCTGAAGACTACTGGGCACACTAGCTATCCTCAGATTACTCTAGACCAGTGTAAATATCTGAACCTACTTGGTGCTTCTTCGGTGCGCTCCCAGCACTGCACTCACCCGAGTGAGCCACGGGGTCGGCCCGCTCCTGTTCACTTCTGAGCTGTTCTATGGCCTCTCTCACATACTACTTGTGAGGTCTTGGGCAAGCCACAACACTGAACCAGGGATATGTTGACCAAGGCCACATGGTCCAAACCTCTCCAAAAATAATGCAGTATCTCGAGCATACCTGTGGTTTATCAGTTCTTTTGTCAGTCTTAACTGTCAGATCTCTGGCATCTTCCCACCAGATCGGACAGGCATCTATATTGAAACTTTATTACAAAATTATAAAGCAAAGCTCTGTAACAAAAAATACACATTTTAGGTTTGCTTTAACACCCACGAAAGTCAGAGAACCTTAATGTAAGCCACTTGAAGTAACACATTCACATCCAAGAGATTTCAACAAATTTATACAATATATATTGAGCACTAATTCCTGTACAGCTTATTATTAGTTTGGATCCAACTATTCCAATATATTATGAACCAGTCAGCTGTCCAAGTCTTTTAAAACAAGTCTCAAATCTCAGAGCATTCACTGGAAAAGCCATGGAATAATTGAAGGAATTAGATGTTTCCATGATAATTAAGACCAAGGATCCATGAGGGGCAGGAGGGGGAGGAGGGTTCAAAGATAAAAACAAGTTTCCTACCTGGGTTAGATATTAACTAGAATGGGATCCTGGAACTCCCAACTTTTATTTGGTGTAATAATAAAGGTGATAACAAAAGAATCAGGTTGTTTTGACACCTTTTTTCCTAAATGGAAACCTTCACCAAGAGTATAAAGATTTAAAGGTGAGTACTTTCTCCAAAATAAGTAAATGACATCAGTTCTGATGCTTTTTTTTTTTTTAAGATGACTGGTAAGGGGATCTTAACCCTTGACCTGATGTTGTCAGCACCACACTCTCCCAAGTGAGCTAACCGGCCATCCTTATTTAGGAATCTGAACCCATGGCCTTGGTGCTAACAGCACCACACTCTCCCAAGTTAGCTACGGGCCAGCCCCAACATCAGTTCTGACTCTTACTGAGGTTACTAACAGGCCATCAGTATATCATTTTCAACTCATGTCTAGGAGGGCAATTGGGAAGTAGGGGGAGGTAAGGCCTCAGCAGAGAAAGCAATTTTTAAGTAGGGAGGGGGCCAGCTTCTGCCCTGAAGTTATTGCTAGATCTTCACTGAGTTGCATATACACAGACCTGTTTCACAGTGGAATCAAGGAGTAGCTGAGTGAGTGATCCTTTGCTAAACTGGTAGGCATTGTAAACTATTTACTGTCCAGCAGAAAGGTGAAAGGAGACATCTTCATGGGAAAACCTGACTTCCCCCAATTCCTACAGAGGCTGTGGCCCAGAATCAAATTATCCAGGACTTGGTATGTCAAGGTAAATGGCCCAGTGTTCAGCTGACAAATCTCATTCCCCTGAAGGGGTTTAGTGGTGGTTGATGGAGGGAAAGCATAAGTATGTATGTACCAATGTAATAGGGCCCCTTAGAGGTTTCCCACTGCTTTCCAGAGTAATAATTGGTTCTTCTAGTCTCAGAGATCTTGGTGTGTGTGTGTCTGGTGTGTGGGGGTGTGGGGGTGTGTGTGTGTGTTGGGAGGGGTGATCAGAAAAGGCCCTCAGGTGTTTAGGATTTGCATAGTTCATCCATTAGTAATGGGAACACACAGCTTTTCTGACAGCATGTGTGTTTTTGTGCTTGGCTAAGCTTTCTCCAGCAAACTTTTCTTGAGCAGTGGTGTAAACACCCTAAGAGGGCTCAAATACATCACCTACTGATTACATGGTCATTCATAAAGGGCCTAGAGAATGCTCCTTCCTAACCTGCACCCAGATCAGTCGGCTGAGAAAGGAAAGGGAAGTAGGGATGCCCCCCCCCCAACCTGAGAAATTAAGATGTCCAGCTGTCTGCTCACAGGCAGAGTTCAGCCTCAGTACCTTCTGATACCTTTTAGGTACCCCTGTCTTACATGTTTGTTCTCCAGGAACTTCATGAGAAGCATGGCTAAAGAAGAGCAAGGCTCTTGGCCTAAGACTCCATGCCTTTGGTGAGAACAAGTTTGAAACCTCCATGTAAAAGGGAGGGGGCACTTCATTTTCATGGGAAAGTAGTTTCAGACTTGCCTATTGGAAAAGGAGGATCAGAAGCCAAAGTTAAGTAGAAAGCCTCTGCTCCACCCAATTCTTCCCCTATCCTCATAAACTAAAATTAAGGATGTTACAAAGTCAGTCCCCAAGAGAGGAAGCAGCAGAGATTATCCATGCACCATCCCTTGCATACAGAGACTGGGATTTCCAAGCAGTTCGGAAGCCAGATGCTTTGCTGGCTCCCAGGGTTAGGTCAGCAGACTGAGAGCTTCCAATCCCAGCACTTAACAACTTTGAAATTTTTTTATAACATTTGTGTTTCATTTTTCACCAGAGATAAATTTACTAGTCCAAATTCTGTCCTTTGAACCACTATTGGTCTGGTAAATTAACATATTTTTGGTCCAAAGAAACAAATGGACTTAAGCAATGTAGCAAGAGACTCTAGCAAAGGTAGATTAAAGTACACATAGCCAGAGAGACCAGAAATTTAAATCTAAATGTGCTGGGAACGAGCCATTTCTAGCAGGACTTCTGGATGATGAAACAGAGACAAGCAGATCCAGGGCATGGGTGGGGTATAGGACGAAGGGGGAAACTGTGTCCAGGTTCTCAGAGGAAGGGAGATGTAGTCCAAGTTCTGGAAATCCTCTGTTCATGACTTATCATCACCCCAAGATAACTGAAACAGGGATTCACCCATGTGATTCGTTCTAGTTCCCACTGGCCTCAGGGGCTCTGCCAGACAAAAGGTGCACCCCTGGCAAGAAAGGTATGCTCAGGGATGACATGGCATCTTTGCTTGCCCTGGTCTTGGGAATACAGCAATATTTCTTATGTTAGCCTGCCCCTCTGCAAGCTGGCAACCCAGAGCCCAGACACCCCAGGCTGTGTCCCGTAAGGCACTGAAGAAGCCGGTGCAGGCCCTCAGGACCGGAAGACGTGCACAGCTCGAATCACATACTGCCGGCAGATGGGACACTCATTCATGCGCTTGCCACACTTAGTACAGGTTACCATGTGGCCACACTCCAGCAGAACACAGTCAATGGGTGAATCCATGCAGATCTTACACAGGTTCTCCTCCAGGCCAGATGGTACCGCTCCTATACAAACACAGGCCAGAAAAAAGGGGCAGAGAGGAATGTGAGGAGACTGTCTTAAGTACATGGGGTCGTGGGGGGATGGAGGTGGGAGGGAAAGGGCACACTGTTAACAAACCCCCAAATCTACAAGTTTCCCTCAAATAGAGCTCCTCCAAGAAAACATCTCCTCAGTAACCAACTTCAGTTGCTTAATCCACAACTCCTCCCAAAGGGCTACAGATTTGAAGAGTACAGTATTTTTGGATCAAATACATTCCAGAACATGAGAACTAAGGCAAAGTCCTCAAAGCTTAAATAATTTTCGACAATTGAGGCTGCAATATAGTGAGTGGTACTTAGGGACTCATTATCCCCTGAGGCAGAACATGCTGAAAAGATAAAACTGGTTCAAAAAAGTTTAGATATAAACAGAACTGTAATAAGTGGTTTATTAGGGATCACGAGGCTTATCTATAAACATATCCCCACTTTAGTAAAGCCAGGGATCACGGGGGCCCCCTGTGCTATCCCACGAACTGTCATTGAGCTTTTTCTGAGGAGCCTTCCTGGTGGAGGAGCTTGGCAGAGGATACTGCTCCCTCTTCTGTGCTATGCCCACAGAACTTTATTCAAATCCCCATGATTGCTTATCACACTGGATTATAATTTTGACTTTGCCTACTTATCTCACCCAATAGACTGAGCTCCTTAATATATCATATTTAATCTATTTCTACAAGTATATACTTAGCATTTGCTATGTGCTCTGAGGTCAGATATTCATCTTTGAATCCCCAAAATGCCAGTCACATGGTAGGTATTCTCTAAATGTCTGATAAATGAATGTCTTCCAAGGGAATAATAACAGCTCACATTTACTGAATGCTTACCACATGCCAGGCAGCAGGGTCCAAAGAGCTTTGCATACATTAACTCTTTGAATCCTCATAAAAACTATGAAGTAGGTACTCTTGTTACTCTCGTTTTATAAATGAGGCAACTGGGGCCAGAGTTCGGTAGCTTGCCAAAGGGCACACAGCTGCTAAGTAGAAGCACCAGGATTCCAACCTAGGCAGGCTGGCTTTACAGCTCATGGGCAGTATGGGCTTCTGGTTAGTGCCTTGAGGTAGAGACTATGGAGGTAATATAACTGCCCAGTGCACAGAGTTCTCAATAAATGCTAACTGGCTTGTGCCAGTGGTGGGATATAATGGCATAACCAGTATCCTAGTTTAGCTACACAAACAGAAAAATCTTCAAGTTCAAAAGACCAGCCATCTCCAGCATGTCGTTTTTGTTTTGATTTTGTTTTTTGGCAGCTGACCAGTACAGGGACCCAAACCTGTGACCTTGGTGTCACAAGGCTACACTTTAACCAACTGAGCTAACTGAACAGCCTCCAGCATGTCTTAAATTGTAGCCTGAACTAGGTAAGCATAAATGGAGAACTGGCCTCACACCATTCACCTCCACCACATGGAGCTTGGCCATTCTACAGGGGAATTCTCCCTTACTGTTACTTCTGTACTTTCTTTTCATCTTTTCTGGGCTATCCAAAAAGTCAAAAAACACTTCCTGTAAGAGGTGGGCTGGCTGTGAAAGAGAACAAAGTCTATTTACCTCCTCTGAGGAGCTGCTGGCCCTAACAGGGAAGGTTTGAAAGGGACTGAATTATACAAATACCTAGGATGAGCTGGAGTAATGTATGGAATTTCAGTTACTTATTACTTCTCTCAGAAGTAACAATATTAAAAAAAAAGAAAAAGAGGGCCGGCCCGGTGGCGCACTGAAGAGTGCACCGCTTGGGAGTGTGGCGGCGCTCCCGCCGAGGGTTCGGATCCCATGTGGAGACCAGTTCCGCTCACTGGCTGAGCGAGGTGCGGGCGCAACACGGAGGGTTGCGATCCCGTTGCCGGTCCCCGGTACGGGTGTGACACCGAGGGTTGCGATCCCGTTACCAGTCAGTAAAAAAGACGAAAAAATAAATAAATAAAAAATAAAAAAAAAGAAAAAGAAAAAAAATTTTTTTTAAAAAAACCCAACCAAACAAAAAAAGAAGTAACAATAAACACATCAACTCAATTGTCAGCACTCTCCCAGGGAATCAGAAAAAGGAATGAATGCACCAAGTGGATTAGGTTGATCTTGGTACCAGGTGAGGGAGTAGCTCTGGAACCCCAAATGGTTTTGGGAAACAGAAAAGCTCCACTCTCTTTGATGTTTGATGAGAAATAAAGGTGCTCACAACCACATAGCCTTGAGGCTTTCAGAAGTGTACAGCATATTTTAGAATGTTCCCAGAATATCAGGAGTTCTGCAGTGTGTTCTTGGGGTACCTGAAGGCTCAGCAGTGGTCTTTAACACACAGGTGGGTGCACAGCAGCTGAGGTGCGATGTGCTCCTTGTGCCCACACAGTACCCCATGTGACACCTTCCCTGACCTGCCTCCAGAGCAGCTCTAACCACTGCCCAGCACTATACAAACGAGGCTCTCTTAGGTCGCCACCCTTTTTGGTTGGTACCAGAAACACAACTGGTAAACATCCTGAGTGATTTCCCTGAAGGACATGCAGAAAGCCTCCCCACCCAGACCAGAGCGAAAACACCAGGATTATGAAAAATGAATTATTGAGTGTGACACATGCCACCACTCTCTGTTAAATATTTTACAAATGTTGGCTTCTGAGCTCTGGCAGCCCACAGATGTGCAAATAAGTATGCCCCTAGGTATGATACCACTCTGCTTCCTTCACAGGGAGAGGAGAATGAGAATTTCTAAAGATGCTGAGAAGCCCTGGTTCTCAGTGAATTTCCCACACGCCCTCTCCTGGAAACCCATATACTCAGAATTCTTAGACTATTAACAGGGATTAGGGTTGAAGGAAGGGAAAGACAAAAAAGCACTAAGAGCTGAAACCCATTCCCAAACAGAAACAGCTACATACCATTTTGGTCTTCAGCACCACACACTGAAAAGGAAAGAGAAAGATGTCTGAATATGTGATGATGTGATGGCACGAGGAAAGTGTCCCACCACTCTGACATCGCTTCTGAACTCTGACCACTTCCCTGCTGGGAACCAGGCTTGCCAAGAGCCTAGACAGACATTTATTTGCCGTCCTCATACACTCTACATGCTGAGAACTCACATGAAGCTCCTGCTGGTGCATCTGGTCTACTCTTAGAAAAGGTATCCCACTGGTGTGCGTGAACAAAACAGCCAAGTAAAACGATACTGTACATGCACAATATCCTTTTCTATTGCTTTTGAAGCCAGCATTAAAGTCAAAAATGAATGAACAATCTGGCTATTTCAGTCAGCCAAGAAGTCTGCATAAAGTTCCCATGTGGAATCATTTGTTCTATTCCCCAGGTCCTCACAACTCTAGAGAGACTCTTGAGACAATCCCAAAGCGGAGACTAGATGAGTAGGTCTCAGACTGTGATCAGGTGAATAGTCGGGCATCTCCCAATTCTGATTAATTTAAGTTTCTAGGAGAAGAAAGCATGAAATCTGAACTCAGCCACTATTACACAAGGAATCAAAATATTGATCTGGAGGAAATAAATCAATTAGGGATATAGGAGGGAAGGTGAAGGTTCTTTGGTAAAAAAATTTCAGAAAATGCCAAGTTCAAAACAGCCAAACACATTTCTCTTCTGCAAGACTTCTCTGTCCTTAATTTTAAAATATCTACCATGAATCAGTAACAATGACATAGTATAAAGTACTTTTTCCCAAGCTCATTTAACCACAGACCCAGATATTTTTCTGGGCATCACCTGAAAATGACACCATGCAAAATGCTTTGGGAGATGAATATAAGGAAAAGCCCAAGTACAGGCAGAACAGATATATTCTCCCACTGTGTGTGCAAAGATTTGCTTCCTGGGCCGGCCTGTGGCTCACTCGGTAGAGTGCGGTGCTGATAACACCAAGGCCACGGGTTCGGATCCTATATAGGGATGGCCGGTTTGCTCACTGGCTGAGCGTGGTGCTGACAATACCAAGCCAAGGGTTGAGATCCCCTTACCGGTCATCTTTTTAAAAAAAAAAAAAAAGATTTGCTTCCTAATCCCCCAACTGTTTAGAATAAGTACTGTTGGAGGTAGTAGGTATTGAGTATGGAGGGGGTGGCATATGTTGGGAAAGGCCAAGGACTTAGACCAGAAACCCCTCAGTTCAAATCTGGGCTCCACAATAAAAGGGTGATGTTAATAATGCCTATTTCACGGGTTGCTCTGAGGATTATATAAGTATATACATGCCTAACCCAGTCTTTGCACTCAACCATAAATGGCAGCTATTATTAGATGGTGCAAATATGTAAGGCTGAAAGTGTGGAAATTGAGTCAGGTTGATGCCATCACACTTTTGAGTGACAGCAAATACTCTGGAGCTCTGTGCAGCTGGCACCCAGATAGCCCCTCACCCAGGTGCTGGAGTCCTTTCTGATCCTTGTATAGCCGCGTCACCCTCTCCATCAGCTCCCACTTCTCACAGCAGCCCTTGTAGTTGACGAAGTTGCGAGCGAGGATCTCTTTCAGCTGCCGCACCGTCAGGCCTTCAATGTCCTCCAGGTCAGTCAGGTCAGACAGAGAGGCCCTCCGGCCTGGGACGAAACTGTCCTCTGAGTCGACAGACTGCAACAGCAAAGGTGAGATCAGATCAGTGGGCTCAGCTCTTACCTCCCCTCAAGTTCTCTCTCCAAGGATTCCAGAGCACTCATGACACCGTACTTTTGGTAACTGACCTCAAGAAGAGTAGGAAGATGGACAGGAAGAGTACCTGGCAGGGTACTTTGCATTGCAAAATAGACTTCTGTCTCTTCCTGACCCACAGTTCTGTGCTCAGGCACAGCCAGCCACAAAACCAACCAATCAGTGTAATACAGTAGAAGGAGCACTGGTTTGAGTCATATGGCCCTAGTTTTGAATCCTGATTCCTCCAGTGATTAACACTAAATAATATCCAGCAAGTTGCTTACCTCTCTGAGCCTATCTGCACCTCTATAAATGAGAGCAGTCCTACCACACAGGGTTCCTGTGAAGATTAAATGTGGCAGCACACAAAACCACCAAGCATGGTACTGGCCTTTCTCTCTTCCCTGGAGACAGCTCTGCTTGCCCACTGAAGAGGCAGATTTCCCTGGCAAGCACTCCTCTATACACAACCTCAACCACAGCTCCATGGATTTCCCCCAGCTGGCTGAGGCCTGAACTGATTATCTGACCTCTGTCCCCTGACAATGACTATTGTGTGCTAGAAACAGAAAAAAAGAACAGAACTTTCACAAAAGCACCAGGCACCTGCCCTCTGGCAGCTCCTAGAAAGTCGAGAGACTGGAAACAATGGGCCATGAGACTCCACAGTCTCCACTGTCACTCACAACTCCTTATTAACACACTGACAGAATCAAAGGTTAATCTGGAATGCTAACACTAAACCCCACCCTGAAAGCAGAATTTCAGAAGGACTGTCTATCACCTCTGAGTCTGCTAAAAGGTTCCTAAGAATATCCTAAGAACACCAGTGAAACAGCAAAGGCAAGAACCGAGCAGAGGCCCACCTGGGTCTCCTCCTCAGCAGGTGCTCTGGCTGTGCTCTCCAGGTAGATGGGTTCTTCTTGGTCCTGAGACACACGGCCATTAGCCTGTGGGCAGAGAAAGGTGTCATCACATCCACAGAGATGTCCCAGAGATTTGCACAGCATGGGCCTCTCTAGCTCACAATGTCCAAAATGTATTCCCATCTCCCCCAGAAACCTGGAGTCTCTCACAACAGCCGTTACAAAGCCTGCTCCCTAATACTAACTCTGTCAAGCAGAGAAACAATACAAACAGATTTCAACAGACAGAAAGCTGCCCTCTGTAGGGCCGGCCCGTGGCTCACTCGGGAGAGTGCGGTGCTGATGGCACCAAGGCCACAGGTTCGGATCCTATATAGGGATGGCCGGTTGGCTTTCTGGCTAAGCATGGTGCTGACAACACCAAGCCAAGGGTTATGATCCCCTTACCGGTCATCTTAAAAAAAAACAAAAAAGCTGCCCTCTCAGACAAGAGTGCATTAATTCTGCCCACCACCAGGATGGCCTCAGCTACACTCACCGTCAATTTAATCTCAGCTTGAAAGGTCCAGGTGAAGGGAAGATCACTATGTCCATTCTACTGCTGGGTTGCTCTCTAACTGCCATCAAGGTTTTTTTTGACAGTGATCCAAAACTGGCCTCCCTATAACTTCCACCCACTGTTCCTGGTTCTGCCCCCTAGACCAATGTCCACTGGTTTTTCTGAACTGTTCACATCATGTCTTCTTCTCCGCCACATTAAATCTCCGACTTCCTCATCTAACTCAAATGAGACAAAGTTTCCAGACCTTCACTATCTTAGTCCCTCCCTCCTGCCTAGTCACTGCTCTCACATTCTAGAAATGTACTCCAACCAGTAGGGCACACTATAACTAAGAGCTATCTCGAAACCTTGTCAAACATCATTCTAATGCATCTAAGAATCTATTAGCCTCAGACTGTATTACAACAAATGCCTATGCTTAAAGGAGTTTCCTTCTGCTTAGAATTTTAACATCTTAAGAGGTTCCTTCTGGATATTCCTTTAGGAGGTTTTGCCAAAGAGTAATCAGAACTGTGAGCCTCCTAATTCTATCACCATTTAAGCCACAAAGCCCTTAACTAGATCCTCTTTACCCAGTGCTCCCTCCAGGCAAAGGGTCTGGTGTAAGCCCACAGCAAAGAGGTGGCTGAGTTCACAGGCCTTTTCTACCAGACCCTGGGAGCAACCTGGGAAGCCAAAGTCATGCCCTGGCCTCAGCCATTCATCCTAGATTAGGATGCATAATATGGAGCTAATCAAGAAGAGGTAAACAACTACAATGGAAATGAAAAGTAAAAATAACAACAACAAAATGCCAAGTGCTAACAAGATTGCACACAGAGCACCCATGTATAGGAGATGCATCCAAAACAACTCTTCATCAACGCCTCTAGTTTTCTATTATCTCTATGTAGATGTGGTGCCCACTGGCTTCTTGGACAGTGTCAACCTTGAGTCTTTCAGAGCCTAACCTGTTCTTAAGTAGACAGCTTTTATATATCCCTTGTTTCCTAGAAAGAGAAACTGGACCTCATGCTGCAAACATGTGCTTGTCTTTCCAGTTTGCCCACTGGCTAAATCAAAATCTACAACTAGAATCAGTCCATGACTTTGCTTACTGTACATACTCTCTTCCCTAGCAACTATTGCTAGGGCATTAAAGGTAAAAGAAAGAACCCTGGTAGAGCATGTATTGAGGAGATTTGCATTCTATGTGCAGCTCATTTGTGCAACATGACCTGTACAAGGCTATTGACAAGTTCACAAATTACATAACTTCCCCATGCCTGTTTTTCCTGTTGGGAAATTGCAGATCTCACCAGAACTGGGAATGTGAGCTGATACTAAGGCCTTCTGAAAACCTCAGAGGAAAAGTTCCCAATAAGATCTGGTATGCAGTGTGACTACAGGTGTGATCTGGAAATTTCTGGTTAATGATAGGAAGCTTATAGTCTTTCATTAAAAAACCCACCCAGGGCCGGCCCGTGGCTCACTCGGGAGAGTGTGGTGCTGATAACACCAAGGCCACGGGTTCGGATCCCATACAGGGATGGCCGGTTCGCTCACTGGCTGAGCGTGATGCTGACAACACCAAGTCAAGGGTTAAGATCCCCTTACCGGTCATCTTTTATAAAACAAACAAACAAACAAACAAAAACCCACCCAAACATTCTTTAGGGAAAAACAATCCTTAAGTTCCTCTTCTGTCTCCCCCATAAATAGAGAGGAGTGCTCCAAAAACCAAGCACAGGGAGAAATGCATAGCAGGAAGTAAAACTTGTTTGGCAGACTGAAAGCCAGAGCTTAGGAAAGAGTTAAAGTCTAGCTGGGGAGAAAAACACGCTCAAGCCAACAAGGGAGCTAAATGATTTTACTGCAGTAAAATTATGCTATCACATTAGCCTTTATGCCTCAGTGCTCATCAAGAGCTGAATCAGGGGGCCCAGTCCTGGCAAAGGAGGTGATCATAAACAAGAGGCAGGAGCCATCCACATCATGTGTGGGAACTGATAACACTAGCACTAGACAGCTCTAAGTACCTCAAAGCTCTTTAGACACGATATCACACTATTCAAGCCTTCCAGCATCCTAGCAAGATCAAAAGTGGTCTGAATTACCAAACCCATTTCACTGTTGTCAGCTCAAAGTTTACCCAGGGTGACCAAGGAGTCAGTGACAAAAATGAATATGGAAACCGGATCTTCTAGCTCCTAATCGTCCCACTATTGTCCAAGGCATAATAACAGAGTCACTAAGGCACTTATGTAGACCTGTGTGACACCACTACTCCTTACACAATGGTTAAACCCACTGGCCTCATTCTAATCCAATGGTTGTTCTATGTGTCTGTCTTCCCTCTTCCAGGGGCTTTTTGAGGACAAAGACAGTGTATTACTCATTTCTGTGCTCACCATGCCTAGTTCATAATTCAAAATGCTGCTCTTATCATTTCCAGGCCCCACTGGGATGATGATAAAGCAGCTTACAATACAGTGGTATGCTGACTACTCCCCCTCCCAAACGGTGACCAGTAAGAAAAGCAGTGTCCTTGTCACAGTGTTTCCCCACTCTCCCTTCCCTCCAAATATTCCTTTTTTTTCCCTATATACCTTGTGATGGTTATTAATCAAGTTCCCAATCCAGCTAAGGAAGACCACAACAAAGGTAAGTCAGAGGGCAAATTTGAACATAACCTCATTTGGAGAGTTAATGGTGAGTTTTCTCAAAATATTTCTGGAACAATGAATTTTTTCAAAACATCTAACTGGGATATATATGTATTAAAGAAAATCAAAAAAACAAAAAAACCTGACACCATGCATATCTCTGAAAAAGCCAAAACATGAGTCTGATGTCCAGAAAACATCACTTACTGCATCAAAGACAGAAAAACTTCAAATAATCAAGACACTTAACCTCATACCTCATTCCCACAAAGCAGGCAGGAGAGGAAAATGAACCCTCAAACTGGTGCAGATTACCAGACACTGCCAAGGGGCCCATACCTGCTGGTTTTCCTGAGCCTGGGCTGGAGGAACAGAGGTGGCTTGTGCAGGTGAAGGAGTGAGATTGGGTGAGGTAGGAAGTACTGTGCTGGTGTGAGGCTGGGTCAGGAAGACCTGCTGCTCAGGGAAGTCTGGGGAAAAGGTGGGGGCACAAGTCCTGCCCTCCTGGGAGATTACAGGCTGCTGGCCAAGCACCAAGAACACCAGCTCTTCTTTCTCCCGGCACATTTCGGTAGAGATGTCATGGAGGCTGAGATAGTCCCTCAGGTCCTTCACCTTCATCTTCATGAGCTCCTCCCGCTGAAAGGCTGTGGCTCGGAACCGTTGGCAGAGAAGGCAGAGGCGGGGCCCATTCCCCACTTGGCTCGAACAGGTCATGCAGAAATTTTTCTTACAGTCCAGGCAGGTCTGCTGCTTAGAGCAAGAGGCAGAGGAAACCACATCAGATTGAGAGAACAAGACAGAGAGAGCGAGATGGGAGCTTCAGGCTGCCAAGCTAGCAAGATCTTTTTTCAGCCACTCTTACTTTTACTAAGCTATCTCATATCTATGGATGAAAGCTACTTTGTAGATTTTAGATTAAAAGCCAGTCTGAGGCGGCAGCCCTCCTGTAATGTATTTCTCTATCCATGTACAGGATACTACATTTATTATTTCATTTGAGGCTTACTTTATTTTACTGACAGAGAACCTGAGGCTATTATTTAAGACTACCAGTTTCAGAATCAAAGGCTCTGTACTCTTATTAAGTCTCCCTTCCCCATTTCTTTCAGTGTCACCTTGAGCATGTAACTTACCCTCTGTGGTGCTCAGTTTTCACATCTGTAAAATGGGGTGATAATAGTATCTACCTAGGGTTGTTGTAAAGATTAAGAGACAAAAGCATATCTGACACATAATGAGTCCTCAATAAGTATTAGCTATTTTTAATTATTACTGCTAAGAACTACTAGCTAATGGTGAGAGCCAAGATACAAACCCTAAACTATAATTCTTTCTGCTTTACTGCTGAGGCAAGAAAGCAAATGGATGAAGGTTATGGTGGTGGTTGTTACTATTAATATTAGTATTTTTTTTTTTTTTTAAAGATGACCGGTAAGGGGATCTTAACCCTTGACTTGGTGTTGTCAGCACCACGCTCAGCCAGTGAGCAACCGGCCATCCCTATGTGGGATCCGAACCCGGGGCCTTGGTGTTATCAGCACCGCACTCTCCCGAGTGAGCCACGGGCCGGCCCATTAATATTAGTATTAATTAAATTTATTGAGGTGCTACTGTGTGCTAGAGCTATAACTAGCTTGTCATTTAATTCTCAAAGCAACCCTGCAAAGTAGGTATTAGTGTTCTTCCGTAATCCACGGACAAAACAGGCTTGGAGAGATCAAGTATTGTACTCAAGGTCAGGCAGTCAACAGCGAGCTGGGATGCACACTCAAGGCCTGTCCAAGTCTAATGCCCACGATCCTGCTCTTTCCTCAGGGCCATGCTGCCTAGCTCAGTCCCGTTCAAGCATACAGCAGTACTGAATCAAGGGTCCAGCTTTCCATCTCCAAATTCCCAGCCCAGAGCCGCATCCAAAGGCCCACTTGGAGTGCTGGGAATTCAGTGGTACAGAAGACCATATCCAAGACAAATATTTAGACAGCTACAGTAGGCTCTCTGGACAATAGGGTGTTCTCATCTGTGAAAGTGCTGTGTCTCAGGCGACAAGAGTGGCTGACAAGCAAGCTGGTACTGCCTGGCAGCAGCTACTCCCACAAACAACACACCAAGGCTTGCTCAACCCATGGGGAGAAAATCCTCAGCCTCTCACCCCACAGGCTGAGCGAACACGATGACATCTGGCTACTCTGTTCCAGTCAAGAGCAGGTCACACTCCCGCAAGAGAGGTAATTCCTGAGCTGAATGGGATCATCCTCGAGGGCACCCTCACTAATCCTTTAAAGAAGTTAAAAACTTTTCATCCTGTGGTGACTTAAGTATTAACCTATTTCTGCTCCTTCTTTTCTAAATATAGAAAGCTGTTCAAGCTAAAAAAGAATGCCCAAGAGACTTAGATTCTCATAGTTGAGATCACAGACACTCTTGTGTGGGGCTAAAGTAAAAGTCTGCACAGTTAAGATAGTTACAGTTTTTGCCCAAGTGTCATTCATATAGTAAAGGGAAAGGACATAGGGCCAGACCGTGGCCCACTCGGGAGAGTGTGGTGCTGATAACACAAAGACCATGGGTTCGGATCCCATATAGGGATGGCCGGTTAGCTCCCTGGGTGAGCGTGGTGCTGACAATACCAAGTCAAGGGTTAAGATCCCCTTACCAGTCATCTTTAAAAAAAAAAAAGGGGCCGGCCCGGTGGCGCACTGCTACAGTGCGCCGCTTGGGAAGCGCGGCAGGCGCTCCCGCTGAGGGTTCGGATCCCACATGCAGACC